AGAGGGGCCGACAGGTGGCGTGGTGGTTAACGGCACTGGACTCCCACATGGCCACATGAGGTTTAAATCCCACACTTGGTGGATTGACTTCTTTCTCACTTTCCCTCTCTCTGTGTCCCTCTCGGGTCAAATTAAAATAAATAAAGTTAAATAAAATCATTCTTATAACGACAATCTTTCAAAAAAAAAAAGCAATCCTAAGAGAGAGGAACTATTGTTTTTTTTTGGGGGGGGGGAAGGTTTTTGCTATAGGGCGCGTGCAGTCGCCAGACAGAGAGAGACATAGAGACAGAAAGCGAGAAATCACCCCCAGGGGGGATGGCCATGCCGCAATCCCTTCTCCTCCATTCTCCTCTCAGGATCTTGGGCATGCATGCACATGCGCCCAGCGTGAGTTCTAAGCCACCAGGTCCGGGACGCGAACCGCGGTCAACTACGTGGGAGTCCAGCGACATAGCCATTACGCTAACTGCTGGTCCCCAGAGAGGAACTATTGTTACCTCCAGATTACTACCGAGCTAATCCGGGCCCAGAGCCACAGAGTAGAGCCAGCCCCGCCAGCTCTGTGAGACTCGGTCTCCTCGCCTGGAAGTGAGAACGCCAGACCGCACTGCAGGGCCGCTGGGAAGGTTTAAGACGCTAGCCTGACGTCGTGTCCCCCGAGGAAGGGCGATCTTGCTGATTCCTGAGTAGCAACGTTTTTCTTTTCTTTCCTCCCTTATTGTTTTCTAGGTTTGGCCGTGGGGCCAGTGAGCTCTCCGGAAGAAAGAGAGGGAAAGTGAGAAATCTCCATCCCAGGGGGGTGGCCATACCCCACCCCTCCTCCATTCTCCTCTTGGGATTGGTCACACACGCACATGTGCCTGGTGTGAGTTTCAAGCCTCCAGGTCTGGGACTCGAACCACACTTGGCCACGTGGGAGTCCAGCGCCTTAGCCACCATGCCACCTGCTGGCCGTGCCTTGTATTTATTTTTAAGTGAGCTTGTCTCCCTAGTAGGGAGCTACCACTCTCCATTCCGTGGAAGGTTCCAGAGTGTCCTGTTGGTTTATTATTTTCTATAGGGCCTTTTGGCTGGCTGGAGAGAGACAGAGACAGAGACAGAGAGACAGAGGAGAGAATGTGAGAAAGCAGCACCCGGAGATGGCCACGCCACCACCTTCTCTGGCATCTCTCATCCTGCCAGGATTAGGGACAGACAGGGTTTCTCAAGCCCTCCGGTCCATGACCTGAACGGTGAGGTCAGCCATGTGAGATCCGGCCGCCCTAACGCCGGGCCGTGGGGCTGTCCCTGAAGCTTCCCTTTCAAAATCAGTCCCGTAGGTGTTCTAACTGCGGGGGTGGTTATCCCCGTCCCAGCCGATGAGGTTGTGCAGACACGCGGGAAGATCTGTGGGAACCCGACCAAGGTCTGGCGGTCAGTCCCATGTCAATCTGCAGCCCACGAGCGGGGCTTGGTTTCCACGTCTACAGGTGGAGGGGGCAGTAAGCGACAGGGACGCCATAGGTGAGGATGGGGCCCAAGGCTAGGGAGCACGTGGGGGTGGGCCCGCCGGGTGAAGACCCTGCGGCTTTGGCCTCCCTAGGAGAGGTGACGGGGGGGCTCTGGGGGGTCCCCAGGGACACAGGCTCATGTCACCAGTCAAGGGCACAGAGATGGGCCACACAGAAGCCGATCATTCGGGGATGCTAGAAAACAGGGTGACGTGGGGTAGCGTCCAGCCTTTCATGCTGGTAAGTCACACACGTTGTTCACATTTGCAAAAGAAAGAAAAAAATAGAAATCAAGAAAGGAGCCAATTAGCTGGTGTTAAGAACACAGTCCAGGGAACCAGCAGTTAGCGTAACGGCTATGTCGCTGGACTCCCACGTAGTCGACCGCGGTTCGTGTCCCGGACCCGGTGGCTTAAAACTCACGCCGGGTGCGTGTGTGTGCATGCCCAAGATCCCGAGAGGAGAATGGAGGAGAAGGGATTGCGGCGTGACCATCCCCCCTGGGGGGTGATTTCTCGCTTTCTGTCTCTCTGTCTCTGCCTTTGTCTCCAGGGGCAAGTACATATGCCCTATAGCAAACATTTCTTGGAAAGAAAGAAAAAAGAAAACAAAAGCAGGGTCTAGAAAAGGCTAGAAAGACCCGAGGGCTGGCGGGGCTGGGGAGGGGCTGGAAATCGGCCTCTCTCCGCCTTTCCTGTTTCTGTCCCATTGACTTGTCGGGGTGAACGGATGCAAAGGTCCTCGTGAGCGCATACAGTATCTCCTCTGGGAATATCCTCAGAGGACAGGTACCCTGAAGCCGGTCTGCTGACCCCGATACAATGTAACCCCCCAGTTTCACCAACCACCTAACTACTCTGACACCCTACAGCAGAGCTTTGCCTCCAGCAGGCTTTGGCTACATTTTTTAAAAAAATTAATTGCCAGAAGACTAGAAGATAGTGTAGCGGTTACATCCCTAGACTCCCACATGGCTGACTGTGGTTCGAATCCTGGACCCAGTGCCTTGAAAATCACGCTGGGTTTGTGTGTGTGCGTGCGTGCCCAAGATTCCAGGAGGGGAATGGAAGAGAAGAGATGGCTGTGTAGCTATCCCCCACTCCGGGGGGTGATTTTGCACTGTCCCTCTCACTGTCTCTGTCTCTCTCCAGTAAGTCACACGCCCTAAGGCAAAAGCCTTTTTTTTGTTGTTTTGGAGAGGTTTTTGCTATAGGGCACGTGCACTCGCCAGACAGACAGAGAGAGACAGAGATAGAAAGCAAGAAATCACCCTCCAGGGGGGATGGCCACGCCACAATCCCTTCTCCTCCCCTCTCCTCTCGGGACCTTAGGCATGCATGCACACGCACCCGGCATGAGTTTAAGCCACCGGGTCCGGGACTCGAAGTACATGGGAGTCCAAATGTTGGTCCCCCGAAGCCTCTTTTTTTCCTTAAACTGTGGTTGGCCATGCCACAGTCCCTTCTCCTCCATTCTCCTCTCAGGATCTTGGGCACGCACACACGCACACGCGCCTGGTGGGAGTTTTAAGCCACTGGGTCTGGGACTCGAACCATGATCAACTACAAGGGGGTCCAACGACATAGCCATTGTGCCAACTGCTGGTCCCTCCTCTCGAGATTTTAAGCAAGCATGCACACCCGCCTGGCGTATTTTCCAAGCTGCCAGGTCTGGGACTTGAACTGCTCAGTTGGCCAGGTAGAATCCAACTGCCCCAACCACCACGCCACCGCTGGCCGCTCGGTTCAGCTCTTCTGCGGCTCACTCACGTTGCTGAGTGAGGAGAGGCCGCTGGGAGGGGACAGGCACACCGGGGCACCTGCAGGAGGCATAGAGAAAGCGGGACAGTCACTCGGGGACAGGTGGAGCTGCAGGGCCCGGGGCAGGGCGGTGTGGAGGAGCTCCCGGGAAAGGGACTGTGGGGTGTTGGCATCTGGTGGCCTGGCCGTTCTTCCCAGGGTGGGGCAGGAGCCTGAGCCCTGAGGAAATGGGCCGGGCAGGGGCACCACCCTGACTCACAGCAGAAACTAGGTCAGCCATCTGCCCACCCGGCCTCAGCTGGGGACAGTGACAATAAGGTGACTGAGCACCACCCACTGAGCCCGGAGACTGGCTCCCACGGCGAAGTGCTGCCCACCTGCCAAACTCTTCTGCCTGGACACCCTCCCTTCTGTCCCGATTCCATCATCTGGGAGTGTCTGTGCCCCCCTCTCTCCCACCAGACAGGGAACCCCTGGAAGGCACAGAGGTTACAACGTCACCCTTTTCTAGGGCACCCAGTGTCAGGTTGAAGAGCCCAGCACTTAAGCTTATCTGCTTGGCGAACTCCTACCTATATGTCAAAACCCACTTCACGTAGGCCCTCACTGGGGAGAACCTCTTGGGCTCCATGTCCCTAATCTAACATGTCAGGGACTAGTACACATCAATAGCTAATACAAAATGAACATTTACTCCTTTTCCTTTTTTAAATAATTACTTAATAAATTTATTTATTATTCAATTTGACCAGAGAGAAAGAGAGACAGAAAGTGAGAGAACAAGCCACCAGATCCAGGATTGGAACCACAGTGATCCACGGGGAGTCCAGCGCCTTAAACATCACACTGCCTGATGGCCCAGCTAACAGACTCTTACCCATCCTTCAAAACCCAGTTTGAATACCCTCTCTCCCTGTGGAGACATTCCTGACTGAACTCTTGCTGACCTCGACATCCATGGAGGTCTTGGTAGGTGCTGACCCACCAGGCTGGAAGCTCCGCCAGGCTGGGGCCCTGACTGCTCCCTCATGGAGCATCCGCCTTCCAAGACCGTCTGTGTCCCCGTTAGGAATGAATTTTAAAAGGGGCCAGTAGGTGGCGTGGTGGTTAAGGTGCTGGACTCCCACGCAACTGACTGCAGTTCGAATCCTGGACCCTGTGGCTTGAAACTCATGCGAGGCATATGTGCCCAAGGTCCCAGGAGGAGAATGGAGGAGAAGGGATTATAGCATGCCCATCTCCCCTGGGAAGTGATTTCTCACTTTCTGTCTCTCTGTCTCTTTCTCTCTGGCAAGCACACACACTCTATAGCAAAAATCTCTCTCTAAATAAAAAAAAAAAATTTAAAAAGAAAAGAAAATCACACTGTATGTTTGTACATGCGTGCCCGCGATCCCGAGAGGAGAATGGAGGAGAACATATTACAACATGGCCAACTCCCCTGGAGGGGGGGTGATTTCTCACTTTCCCCCTCACTGCCTCTTTCTCCTCTCCCATGGGTACATGCACCCTCTGGCAATAAACCTTAAAAAAAAAAAAAAAGGAATAAAGAGTAAAACACCATGACGAATCAGTTGGCAAGGGGACTCGAACCTGTGTATGCTCAGAATCTGCTGCACCTCAAAGGACCACAGCCTTCTCTGGCTCCTGCCCTTCAAGGCCCCGCCCCTGATTTAGGCCCGCCCCCTGTTTCCCGGAAGTGAACGGCCCGATGAGCGCAGAGCATGCCGGGAGTTGTAGTTCCGCCCTCGGACGGAAGCCGAGGTGGACGCGCGGCGGGATGTGGCCCGGAATATTGGCCGAGGGAGCCCGTGCGGCGGCGGGCCGGCGTCCCGCGCTGGGGCCAGGCCTCGCCGTCCGCCTCCTCTC